ATGGAAAGCGGAAGTGTGTACACGTGTCTAGAGTCAGCGACTCAAATAATGGAACACCTGACAGGCGAAAGTTCAGTTCACACGGCATTAAAAATTCTGAGGTTCTCCTCCTTCCCACTTATTCTGCTCTTTGAGTCGTGTTCGATCTCGTTTGCTCCAACGGTTCCTCTCATAACTCCGGACTTGCGAGCTTCCGCTCGAGGTTGAGTAGCCACTCCGGAAGTGGACACACACCGAGCAATATCTACGCCTCCCAGTTGCGATAATGGGGCCCTGACTGCTAAAAACTTCTCCTTCTCATGACTCGCTCCGACCTCAACGACTCTCCAAGACGAGATGAGGATATGAGTTTGTGTTGGCAAGCAGCTCTGCGGTAGTTCGTTCGCCCGTGTTTGCAAAAACACAGTGCGAATTGACTTCGACTCTACGTAGTAGATGTTCGCGAAGTCATTCATGCTCAGAGGGAATTCCCTCAGCTCTTGCTATACTGGTGAAATACACGTGTTGCAAGACTGGTCTTGGCTGCGATTCTTTTAGCACTATAGGCACCGTGCGCAATGATGATAATGTTGACTATTTTCGCGAGACCAGAGAAGCTACCACTATTATTTTTTTATACTACATATTCCTCATGCTCGATTCCTAAAATAGCTCAACTGATTCTCATCAGCGGAAGTTGCCACTTCCAATCAAAGAATCGCAAACATGCATGATTCAAACAAACCGCTTGAAACTATCTGTCGGACCCTGAAATTTAAACATTCATCTGAAACACCCCGTTGCTCAGAAATTCGAAAGGGATTTAAAGGCTATCCGTATCAAAGTTTTTTATTGACATTCGAAAACGATAGCTTTGTTTTGTGAGAGATTTCTCACTTCGCAATGTTTTTGAGAGGTTTCTTTTGTATTTGATCCGGCAGCTGCAACGTGATATTATAGCTGGAATTAGAACCTTATCGCCATCTGTCGGTTATCATTCGATGATGAAGCCCTCGAAGTGCTCGGCATCATGCTTCAAAGTTTTCGTCAAATTTTCCATCGTGAAGGGCTTCATTGTAAAAGTAAGGTTCTACCAAGGTAAAATAAAGTTTCCAAAATAAAGACTGCCTTCATCTGAAAGGCTATCAAACGCATGCGATCATTTTAGCATGGATGAACGCATTCCTGTCATTGGATATGAAAATCAGTTCTCCTGAAAATTCTGGAATTCGCTTTATTAATGCCCAAGGAATGCTTGATCATACAGAAGCCACTGTACAATATTTTTTTCCTATGCAGTATGTGCAAAATTTACTTTAGTATACGTCTCATGGTCTTATTTTAAAATTATAAAAATTCTCAATTTTCCTTTGCTAGTTTTTTGCTTAATTACTTACAGCAGATGACATCCGCCCAGCTTGAAAGAAAAAAACGTAAATTGATGGGCAGGTAAATCGATCGAATGGATTTTCGTGGAACCTCGGAGATCACGATGAGTCAACCAGCATGGAGAATATCATTACACAAATGACCACAAACTTTGCTCAGCGTTGCATTTTTGTCTTAATATTTTCTCATCGAAAAATTTATTTTTTAAAGATCGAAGGATGATCTCTTGATGTATCCTGAAAAGCAACGTGTTTGGAAGCTTGAAAATGAGTAAAAGATCAACCTCACTGAAATGCACTGCCAGCAAAACACAGAGCTTTTTTTAGTAACTTCTACACGCAGCAGAAAATTTACGGAACTCGGTTCCCAGTCAATGCAAGCCATCGTTGGGAAAATACTGTAAAGTGTAAAATGTGTGCTCTCTCGCATTACGGGCATATCTGTACTGTATACACTACTCTACTTGAAGCTAAACAAAGGTTTCTTGTTAGTTTTTTGTTGTTGTTGCTGCAATCATGTTGAAACGTATTCTGTGGTTTTTTCACGAGAAATTGCAGCAAATCACCATTGAATATTCATGATCATCATCAAGAAGCGATGGTTCTGGAGGAAACAATTTTTGACGCAAACATTCTTGGGGCTTTGAAAGGTCCGAGATTCCCAAGGCTTCTTATTGTAAGGGAATCCTTCAGGCGTCATTAAAATTGGTTTCCCAGGAACTACGTCCCAGTCTATTGGTATTGCTGATGTTCGTTTCTTGGAAATATAGAACGAAATGAAAAATTAACCGAGTATACCGGACTCTTGGATCGACCATCAATATTTGAATGCTATTATTTTTTGCGATAAAATCTGGATGATCCATCTCCATGTCCTTTTTTGAGCGCCTTTGTCGAACTTTCCAGGGTATTGAACTCCCCAAATACTGTATGTGATTCCCCACCTTGTTAAAGCGTACTTCGCTGCATTCATTTTGCGAAAATTACTGAATCTTTTGAAATGCGCCACAAGTTCGAGAAAATTATGGCAGTTTTTTCGTTTGATTTTTCATAACAGGCCACACAAATTATGCTCATTTCCGGAATAACTGATAGTTCTGATACATTCCTAGTTATTTTTGAACAACGTATCTTCTGTGGAAGTGCAAGCCACGACATAGAAATGCAGTAGACGGCACCGTTTTCTCCGTCTGGCGATGATTCGTAGGCGTAGATCAAATAAAACCCTGAGAATTCCATTGCTATGATCGTTGCCCATTCTGGAACTCCAAAAGGCAAGCACGACGTGGGCTTCCATTTTACCCCCAATTTCCCGAGGTACGATGACGAGAGACAGTGCCAAAACAAGCGCAGCACTACAATGTAGACGGTATAGAGGCGTCTGTGACGCAAAAGGGTATTTCCACCCTCATTCATGCATTTGTTTTCACCATTGAACAATTCTGCAATCAGTGAATTATGCTGAGGTGCATGTGTCCCGGAATATCAGGAAACGCAGATCATTCGTGATTCCAACAAGGTACTGTAATTAAGTTTTCTGCGTTTTTTTTTCGTTGATGGGGCCGAAAGTACATGTTCTTAACCCTGCTGACGTGATGCAATATTTTTTATGCAGCACATGAATTTCTCTGGATTTCATTTTTTATGTCAAAGGGAACCGCTAAATTGCGCTTCGAATCGAATGGAAGCAAACGGGACTCCGAATTAACTGACTGATCGGGTATACGGGAATGCTTGTCACGATTTTGCAAATGAATCCCTGTGATATGTGAGACTACTATATGGTAGTCTCAGAAATCGCACATCGCGAGAATATTGTAGTTGACAGATAACATAGAATTGTCTTCGATTATGCAGCCTAGAGATGTGCAGAAACGTCGTTCTCAATTCTGTCTTGACAGTATACTCTAGTCTAGAGCAGTGTTCCCAACCTTTTTGGTCCCACGGACGGGCAAATTTCCATTAAATTTTTTGCGGACCGGCAAATTTCCAAACAATTTTCTGCGGTCAAGCGAAGGTTCATGAGATTTTCTGAGGACCAGCAATTTTTATAAATTTTTGCATGCTCAAAAAAGTTTTGCTTGAAAGACAGACAGCTTGAATGGCAGGTATTCGAAATGCTTCGGGAATTTTTGTGCAAAAATTAAGTCAAGAACCATTAAAGCAGCTATAGTGGAATGTCTTCAAAAATGGAAAGGTGGGCTTAAGAAACGTTTTTCAGACTCAAAATTGAAATAATTTATTAAATCAGGTAAAAACTCGTCTGAAGTATTATAAGAGAAAAGCCAACATATGTTTTTCATGAGAAATTTTCAACTGCCATTGTCTTTCGAAATTTTGAGATAAATATACTAACTGTTACATCCTTCATTCCTACTTTTGAAAAATTCATTAGCCTGGAGAAATTTCCCGCGGACCGGCAAAAAACTTCCGCGGACCATGGGTTGTGGAACACTGCTCTAGAGTAGTGCAGAGAAAATTTGCTTTTCATCGATGAAAATCACGATTGAATGCTTGATGCCCGTGGAAAATTTTTTAATTTCTTCGCCGCAAATTATAAAAGTGAAACCTTTAGCTCTGGTCGTCAAGAATTGCACAAAGCAATTTTTTTTTCCTTGATAATTAAGCGATTTCGTGAGTGAGTGCGTTTTTTATGGCCAAAGAAATTAGAAGGGACGAAAAATAAAAGATATTGGTGATCTTCTGAAAATATATTAGAATTATAGAATTCGAAAAAATATGGAGAAATTTTCCCCTGACTTTCAACGGGAACGGAAAATTTTTCGATCCTCTTTAGTCCCAAGTATGAAAAAGACAATCTCAATGAGGAAAAACTTGCAACTATGTACAGAAAGGACGACAAATTCTTCTTTCAATTGCTGATGGGACCTGCTGTTCAGTGGGTTTTTCTTGTATGTCTTGGAGGTTGCTGGGGAGGAATAGAATTCTAGGAAGCGCATTTCCAATTACCTGACATGGAGAGAAGCTCTCACCTTCAAAGAAGCATGCTTAATTTAATTACGTCGAGCTTCCATACATTTATACGATATGTTCAGCATTGTGCAGCATCTCTTGGTTTACCTAGTATAATGGCCTAGTTTTGACGTCTGCCATGGGATGAACAATCAAATTCACATTGTAGCGGCTTGGTGTCCGAGAATCGGGTCGTTTCCTTTGATATTCACCGGGGGAAATGAGACCAGTTTGAGGCTCAATCCGGCATACAGCACATTAATGCAGCCCCTATGCTGAGCAGCAGGTTGCTTCGCACCTGAATATTGGGTCAATTTCCTCCGAAGCATCTCCTCGAACCCTATTCTCTCTGCCAACGAATACAAGCTATGTCCAGATTGATCTAATTTCCAGTACGCTGCATGAATAAGCCTGGAATGCTAACGCAAAATTGTGCGTGCTCGCTCATGGCAAGGATGATTCACGTATGTTTTGGACGCCACTATTGCTCCGAATACCAAGAGATAGGTCAATCCTTGATAGTCTTTCTCTTTAAATAGCTGATCTGCTCCGGATTTCGGAGCCACGGCAGATCGCGTTGAAAGTGGGCAAGGATAAATACTCCTCATCAATTTTAGAACGATGCGAAGCAGTGCGTGATTTTGTCATGTATATCCGCAGACTTGCAAGTCAACATCCTGGGGCAAAAGCCTGACATATATGTAAAGGAGGGCAGTATGCTTAACCTGACCTGCGCAATCGTGTCTGGCGGAGTGAATGAGCCGCTGGCAGTGGCAGGGATCCAGTGGTTGAAAGACGGACAAGAGATCGAGTCGAACGTGGCTCCAGATGGGAAGAAATGGTCCCAAGTTTCCCACAGAATCAAAAACAACCACTCGAGGCACAAACCGGCGAAAGTCACCACTCTTCGAAGGACCCGACATCAACACGATTCTGACAGCATCAGGGATGACGTCACACGTCATCATCCTAGCTGGACCATGACAGCCGTCTCCACGACAGAGAATTCAGCTCTGGCATCCCCCTCTGTTTCTACACCCGTCATCATCACCAAGCTGAAACTCAGTCGTCTCATTGTGCTGCATGCAACAAAGCAGGACTCCGGTGTCTACCAGTGCGTCCCACCACACGGCAATGCTTCTCAAGTCTTTGTGCACATCATCCAAGGTGAGCAATTCAAGAGTCTCTTCATTTGTGCAGACAATTCGGAAACGATATCTATTGCACATTCCTTCCGAGAAAATATAGTCGCAGCACTAAATAGAACAGATCCTCATAAGCTTGTTAACTGATCAAAGACACCGATGATAAGACTCGAAGGAAGAAAATCCAGCTCTGAAATGGGTGGCGTAATATTGCCGCGATCACCAAAGAATCGAATAAATTTTCACGCAAGGGTGGGGGTGAGTACAGAATAAATTTAGAATAATTTTCAGTTCTCATCAATTATTCGTAGTTTTCAGTGTTCGAGAAAATAAAGCATGGCATACGTTCGAATGGATCACACCAATAACATAAAATTTTACATCTGGCATTGGTGAAACAGCGCGGGACACAGTAATTTCCCCATTTTGTTCGTATCGTGATTACCGCTTTAATATTCCAATAATTTAGCAGTTGTTACAAATGCGTGAGACATTCAGAATCCTTCGTGATGAAAGTCAGGTCATGCAGATCCAAAAAGATCAAGATTTCGTGAATGATTGAATGGTCCATGGATTATGATTCCGAACAATATATTTCCCTGATTTCAGGTGAGAATTCAGCTGCTATGCAACACGGAGATCCAAGCGGAGCAGCAACTCTTGCCAGCGACTACAAGTTTGCATTGTCGCTCACAGCATACTTGATTTACTTCCCTTTCTACTCCTGTTGCTGATTTGGTGCATGTGTAAAGTTTGACTAATGCATAAGTGGTATTTTTTAAGAAACGTGACCGGTGTTTCATTTGCTCGTACAGATTCTTGGAATAGTATTCAATTTTTCTGCAGTACCTCACATCCCGCAGGATTCCTTTCATCATAGGTTGATGCGAGGTCAACAACACGGTTTTTTCTTGGAAATGCTACAAAAAAGCTGAGAGCGCCTTATAATGGGGATGTCATCGCGTGCCCGTTCATGGGTTCCCATTATGCATCGGGGTTTCATGTTCATCAACCTTCCTTAATCTAGTCCAAAAAGTCATTTATTATCCTTTTCTTGCCTGCAGCTCATCATTAAGCTGCCTCGTTAAGCCGGTGAAAATTCTTCCTGGAATTTGTCGCATTGGAAGAGACTGGAAACCATGGAATTCGTACACGATTATTAATTTCCTGTTGCAGCATTCGAAATTTCACTTTACTTTTCTTTCATTCTTTTACCCGCATTCAGAACAACGCCGTGTTTAAAATAAGCTTTTAAAAAATACGTTGAGTTGTTTCGGTTACAGGAAAGCTACAATTAGAAACATCATGTCCAAACACGTAAAACCACTGTCAAAACCAACCGGAAACAAAAAAGTATTTCTGGTCCCGTCATTGATCCACAAAAACTGCATCAGCTCAATGTGACGTGTTCGACTTCTCAGTTGAAGTCCGAACAAAAAGGTGAAGAAAGAAGACAACGACACGCAAACATCGCGGGTTTCAAAAGAACGCAGGTTCTTGACGCAAATATACAAGGCAACGAAGAAGCTCGGAATTCAGTGCATGAAGTGATCACAAAATATCCAGATCCACGACGCTCTGTATGAGGTCTAGGATCCATGAGGCCAACGGAGTTCCAGAACACGATTGCATCTGCCTCCGACGCAGAGTCACGACACTGTCGATGGCAAAATCCTTCTCGATGTCCGGCACGTCCTCCTTGCCACCAAAGATGAAAGGCAGTACGATGCAGGAATTCAGGAATGCCAGTTCGGCGAACAGAGCAAAATCTTTCCGGAAGTCCTGCCGGGTGAAACGATAATTTCACATTGAGCTCCGTTTGGGAAAAGTTCTCAAGAACTGAAGCATCCAATTCGCGCCGATGCATAATGCGAATGTATTTCACTGAAGCTTAGCGAAGACCTTTTCGTTTAAAAAAAAACTTCGAAGATGCTCAAGAAAATGGAAGATAGTTCTGCGTGTAAAATCCTGACTCTAAAATTCGATTAATGAAAGGATGATTTCGATTACGTTCTTCAAATGTCACAAACAATCCGAAGTACAGTAATTGAAAGTAAGATAATTGAAAGCTTAATAATATTTGTTCGTAGACCAGATGGAAGGCAACACATGTAACGCCCAAGGGCCGGAGCACAGATACACACCTCGAACGGGTACTTATCCTTGGCTATCTCCGTCACCATCAGTTCCTCCAGGTACTCGAAAAACTTGTTGTAGTAACACAAGAGGAGCTCATTCGTTCGATCGTGCCGTAGCTTCTCAGGTACGCTTGTGAACAGGAAGTAAGCCAAGTCTACAGCAGGATGCGAATACCTCGTAGCCTGCAGGTCTACGAACTTCACCTCAACAGGTTCCTCATCTCCTGCACAATACGAACGCATCAGGTCAATATTTTCCTTTAAACGCGAACAAACACGCAATCGAAACAGTCTCTTGTACCACAGTCCAAACTTTCCAAGTTTCGAATTAAATCCTCAATTTGCGTCCTTGAGAAATGTTTCAAGGCCGAACAACACTCCCATGATACGTGGGCAATTTTCGGCGATCAAGAAAAAACAAAAACAACATCTCAATCGACCGTAATAATCACCCAGCCGGTAAAACAAGAATTTCCAGAAAAACAATATTCAATTTTAACGAACAAGAACATGACGTAAATTTTTCGCTCATCCGAAAACCACATACCTGTCACACATGACGGATAATACGAACACGTTCAGTGCAGAGTTAGAGACGCAATAATTAATGTACAAATGATGTAAATATTGCTGTCCCGTAAGCAATGACTGGTAAGACCTAAACTCTAGTTCTGTACAGTACAGTAGTTCGTATAATGATTATGCGGGGTGGACAAAAAAATAGGCCGGTATTCAAACTGAGGAGGTATGTATCCACGGGTTCGCTATAAATTAGAAAAAAATTGGATGAAATTAAAATGTTTCTTCTAATCGAGAATTAAAGAGGAAGAAGTTTGGTAAATTACTTTTTTGTGAACTGCGCTTCACAGTTTTTTCCCCCCATCTCTCAAGGGCAGTAAAAATAGTGCTCTGTCACCATCGGAATGCTGTAGTTCTCTTTCTCATCGTCACCCCAGCAAACAATTCGAGCATAATTAATTATTAAAAAAAAAATTCCCAACGCTCCTTTTCTGCGCATCATTCAAAAGGGCAAGAAACAAGGACAAACTACTTCAAACCAACTGGTACTGATGGAACTTCATCACACCATATTTACTCAAGTACCCCGAGCAATTTTTCCCGGAAGCTGGGATAGAAAAAAATGGTTTACGCTGCACACTTTGGAGTGAACATGTTTCCTCGAATGTTTTTGAATTTGTTTCCTCCATATTCTTGAATCAAAATTAGTTTAAAGTGAAAATTGTAGCTGCTGTAATTATTAAATTGTGAAAATGTTACAATGAAAACCGGGGCGCGCGTTTATGAATTGGTACTTTTCTATTGCCCTCTTTTCAAATGCCCAAGCCTGTCATACCCACACAATCAGTACAGTATCATAAAATTAAAACTATTTCAAAAGATAATTGAATGAACTAATTGAATAGATTGTATTTTTAACGTAGTTCAGAATATATCGGTTTGAATATTCGTCAGCTATATTTTTTTTCTTACACGCTGCACATAGTACAGAGAAACACGACACAGGATATGTTCGACAGTTTTTTGAGCAGCAAAACAGGGGACTAAATAGCTCAACCAACCCATGCTGTTTTTCGCGTAGCGGAACATGATGTTGTTTGTCCAACAATCACCATGCAAGATCATCTTCATAGGCTCAGAACCAGCGTCCGCGAGCTCGGCGATCCTTTCAGCAGGCTCGTATTTGGCAAAGTAGGCCCTGAATTTTTTAAACTGTTGCTCTTTTCCGGGAGTGGCACTAAGGAGCTCGCCGATGCACTTGATCATGTCGTTCGTCCTGGTTTTCGCCTCCGTCGAGTCATCCAAATCCAAGCGAATCAGATTCGGAAACCGCTTCGCCGTCGGGATGTCGGATGCGTTCTTCAAGGCGAACGACAACGCGTGAAGCTTCGCCAAGGCCGTCAAACACAGGAACATTTCCTGTTCCGGCAATCCCGCAAATTTGTCGAGCATCTTGAAACCGGCAGTAGTCAGGTCCTCAAGCAGAATTGAGGATCCGCGGGAAGAACACGCGCCATAGAAAATCCGCGGCAACGGCGGGGCCAACACGTTACCCGATTTTGTCGGCAGTCGGAACATCGCACCAGCCCAGTCGATGTAGGCTTGCGCTTCCTTCAAAAATACGCCTCCTTCGCTCAGCATGTCTCGAAGTTCTTTCGCCTTCGGGAGAAATTTCCCGATGATGCTCCATTCTTGAGCTCGTCCGTTCTTCACTAGCAGCACAACAAATCTGCAGAAGATACAGAGCAGACACTGTACTTGCTACACAAACAAAAACCTCAAAAAGTTCCCTGATCACCAGGTCAAGTCCACGATGGAACCAAAGCCAAGGGATTGCAATACTGCACTCCGTGGCTACTTCCACACGTGGGATGTAACATTTGTAAGAGGCATCGGCAAACTTCATCATGAACAGAATTGCGATCCCCTATCCAGGGTTATTCCATAAATACTTCACAATGTCACGCGGATTATGAGAATAACGACGGTTCTTGCATAAGTTCTGTTAGCAGAGGTCAATGACCAAAAAGAGTTTTCAAGAGTTGGAATAAATAATTACTAATTTACATCTCGACAGTGAAGTTGAATTTGAGCATTTTTATGTCCTTCCCATTTATTTTCAAGAACTTTTTCAAGCTAGGAATGTATTATAGAATATTGAAAACTGAGCTGTGCAATTAGATATTCAAGTTCCTCAGTTCGAATCCTTTTCTTCTGAGCAATGATGGCATCAATAACAATCCTGCAATGTGTCACCCTTTGGTACAATTTACGAAAATGTGTTTCTCCGATTGCAGCCCCGCAATTACAATTTTCAGGCAACCTCAACGTTCAGCATTGACCACAAAAATCTACCGAGAATCAAACGCTTTTTTCTTCCTTACAAGGCATACCGCTTTCTGGTTTACCCCCGCAACAAAAATTGTTTGTCTTCATCACCTTCTTGGCATTTTAGACTGGGCGAACTTGAATTGAAACATAGTTGTTGAAAATGAGCATTACTTATGAACAATTGCGTCCCATCTCAACATGCAGAATCGCAGTACAGTACTATGAAATCTTTCGAACTAACCTTCATGCTTTACGAAATACAGTAGCTGCATTCATTTTCATTTCATTTCCAAGACCGCTGTCAAATCGAATGACAATTTTAATAATCCTGGAAATACGACGTTAAAATTAGAATTAGAATGGGTTTTTCCTCAAAACTTCGGTTAAGCGTGAAAGTGGGCCACTCTGGCCATCTTTACGCCAGCGCGTCCGTCAAGAGGCCATCTTGCCGGAAAACATGATCATCTCCTCAGAGAATACTTTTGGCCCTGACTGATGAGGAGAATGTACACAAAACCCATGGGAAACCCCCCAGGACTGAGAACGATAAGTACAGAAGAAAAAAAAAACGGGATTTGCCAGACTCATTCCAGGCGGTTGAGACTTCGCAACTGTTTTCTCACGAGCGATGTCACAGCGCACCACGAGTAGCACTGATCATAACGAAGGAACGGAAGCCCAGGAATTCCCCCTAAAGAAAAAAGCACAACAGAACGACTCCTTCTCGCTGCCTTACACCCAGTTAAGTAACTAGGACGATATGGGCATAATACATAAGGTTCTTTTCATTGTATGCCACTTCGGCACGAATAATTCCCAACTGGTGCATTCTGCGAGCCTATCTGGACCGCATCTCCTCGGGCGAAGGATGCAATAAGAAATCGAAGCATGCTTCACGTCAGACGCGGGGACAAGGAGAAAGAGATCACATTGATACGGCACACAGTGACTCGTGGTGCAAGGATTGCGCCACATAAGATATAGTCCTCGGGTTCATTACTTTCCAAATCGTATAATCAGCTTCTCTTTCCTCCGATATTCGGGCCTCGGAATTATCGACACGTAGGAAGACCGTGAGCCGATTCAAACTGCGACCTTCGGATGAGATGAGTCGATTCCATTTGCTTAATGCTGTTCGATGAGGGAATTCTCAGAACTTCATTTACTTCAAATGTTCAAGAACAAAGTCTTGATCTCGAGCATTTTCCCCCAAAAATAAATGAAGTAGCTAAAATGTCTTTTAACTTTACAAGCCGAACACTTGGTGCAGTTGAGCTCTTTACCATAGAAAACTGGGATCAACAATGGGAGTTGGAGCATAATTACAGTAGGGCTTGCATAATGCTGCTTAATGACCCCCAATTTCTGCTCGGATGGAAAATCAGGCATACTTTAAATGCTTTAAAATGTATTAAATAATTTCATGACTAACGTAATATCAATGAACAGCAACAACATTCCAGTTTATATCTAACTTCCGGTTCGACTTCCCTGTGAGGTACATTGAATAGAACGGCTCATTCGGATTGAACTTCGTTCAGAAAATAAAACTGAATACCTTGAAACGCCTCGTTCATTTTCGAAAATATGGGCTTACCTCACTATATAGCTTCCAAAATTATCTCCAGGCTTCGTCGCCCGGTGGAACTTGACTCGCATCACACGCACGTTTACGGGCAACGGGGCGACGAGGCCCTTGAAGAGCTTCTCGACCCAGGAGGAGGTCACCTCCTCGGGGGAAACTGGCACGAAATCCATGTCGTCGTCGACGCAGCCCGAATCGATCACAATAAAAAAAAAACTTGCCCGTAGAAACTTGAAAATCACACACTCAGTTTCACTCTCAAAGACCAGGAATCCGTGACGCAGATCAACAAAGCAAGATCACAAGAAACAAAAAATGGTGGTCGGGCAAGATCGCATTAGCTGCGTCTTTTCCCAAAGCCCACGGTTGGGCTGGCTGGGTGCGCCTGTAATAAGGAAAGAATAGCGGATTATTTCGCTCATCGAAGAAAAACAGTACCACGTGAATCAAGCAAAATAATACTGCACGAGCCCAACCGGGCTAATAATGACGCGTCTGTAAATGATTCGAGTTTTCTTCGACGTGGACATCGAAAAAATAAAAGCGAAGAAGTAGCGCGAGGTCGGGTCATGAGTCTTCATGATTTCCATGGAGTTTTCTCAAGAATATCCGGATTGTGACTTCGTCAATGAAGTGAATTTCGCTGATTTCTTGGATGGGAAAAGATCCCATTTTTTTCTCTCATCTCAGGGAGTAGCCAAAAACGGTGGAAATCGGGGTGTACCTTCCATGCTTGAATTTACAAACTTAGTGATATGGAACACTCGAAATTATTTTCAAAAAATGTCTGGTGACAATGTCTCAGATTCAAATACCAGCTTCGATCTCGCAATATTTTCGTAAGTGATGCTAAAAGAGACAATTTGACGTAAGACGCAGATGTTTTAAACCAAAATTCGTCCAGCACTGCATGATGCAATCGAGAGAAAATCGGCAAATGAACGGAGGGCTCTCAATCATAAAAATAGGGTACCCGGAGAAGCGCACATGCACTCATTTTTTTAATTACATACTAATGAAATACTGTATTGTAACCATCTGTCATAGGTCTAACGTGGGCATATATGAGTATCACGACAGACATACACGACCAAGCTTCTTACATTCGCAAACTAAACGGAAGCAGATTCTCGTACTACACAACATATTTTTCTCTTGGACTTCCAAAATACCCACAAGATGGTAAATGGGAGCAAATACGAAACCAGACGAAAGGGACAAAATCGCGGAAGCGGTTTCCTTTCCTATCACCTCCTAATAACCCAGGATCGATAACCATCACGGATTCGAGTGAGTACTTCATCGTTATTCATGGAGGTCGTGTAGGTCTTAGGCTCGACGAAATCTCTTGGGTCTGAATAATGATATCGGGAGTTCCACATGTCGATGCATAGCATGGCAACATAGTTTTTTTTTCTTTCCCTAGAGGGGATACACTCCACACTATACCGGGTAGTCTAGAAAAATTGGACTGCTTCGAAAAATAATGGCTAAACACAGAACTCAAAAGACAGTTCACTTCGTTTGTGTCAACCGTTATTCGTTCAAGTTTTTAATCATTAATTTCATGTTTCTATCATCATCGAAAAATCGAAATTTTCGAAGAAGGTACCAGTGAGGAAAGAATTCCGATCTAACTACGATATATAGAAAAAAATTATGAATGTTGGAAAACTGGTTCTGCCTCGAAGAAATCTCAAATTCATGGGATATAAAATTCCAATCTGTTTATCCCATGCAATGTATTGTGGTCAATTAAGCATAATGGCAATTTTAAATTCAAAGAGAGACAAAGTTAAAAGTTCCGATTCTCATTTTTAGATTCAGGTTAACTGCGACCGAACAGAACAATTTTAGGATTCGAAATTTTGCAATTTTGGGTTTTAAATTGTATGCATGGCAATAATACCTAGAATAAAATTACACGCACAACTTAAAAACACACTAAATAACAATTGTTCCGAGACCAAATTCAGTTTTCCAGCATGCATACTTATCCAGATGTTGCAGCGCAAATGACTTGTTCTCCTTTTTCTGGCCAACATTCCAAAATGGTTTTTTTTTTTCAATAGACGCGGCAAATGCGTCTATATGACAGGTAAGATATGAACAGATTATACCCAGAAGTAAGTAAGATGATCTTACATTCGATGCTTAAATTTGGTTCTCCATGGGAAGTACTTTCCAGCCAATTCTTTGAAACGAAGTCCAATTTTTCTGCGTCACTGTCTGTGAAAGGAACCTGAACGATCAATTTATTTTTGCTGCTTCCAAAAATCGATGCACCAAATTCTTCAACACATCGTTTCCGATTGAAAATTAGAGTGAGTCATTACCCCGAATAACTTATTCTGTTCAGCTGAAATGCTAATCATGGAAAAAGACGGCCGTGGTCAACACCTTCCCGACGACGAAGCCAAATATGCGACGCATATCGCACCACCGCTTCACGCCGTAAATTGTACATATTTATAACGCATTAGCTCCGCAAGAGCTCAGCCATTTAGGAAGTTAGCTACGTACCGACGCGCTCGAATGGAATTTATCAAACGGAATAAGCAGAACCCCGCATTCGTTCGCGAAGGCTGAGCCGCGCCGAAACAGGTGATTCATTCCCAGGAAACAGACGACGTGGCGGGAATACATGACAAGAAATAAATAAAGAACGATTTTGAAGCTCCTCCGAGTGGATTTAGTTACATCCGCACAGAATAAAAACATACCTAGTCTAGAGTCTAGAAACCCTAGACAATAAATAATCGTGGAACAGATGTGTCACACTGACAACGGTCAGACTGTATAAGTTGTGCGACGAGAAGCAGCAATTACCGTAATTGGATTCGTCACGTACGTACACGTATCCTTGCTTGTACAACAACTTCTAGAAAGTCACCTCGTCAAGTTGAATGAAATGACATGAAATCTGAACTCAACGAGCTGATCATCTTATGTCACTTCAAATATGCTAAAAGTGTGGTTCGCAGACATGACTGATCACACAATTCGAATCCAAATTTAAGTCAAGGGGCCTAAGTTTGTGCGCTCATCATTTCACGTTTTCATACCTCAAGGATTTCCTCTTCCAGAAATTATTTTTACTCCATACATCTCCGGATAACAAAGAGAAACGCTTACGATCTTAATTTATCCATACGCTCGTTCCATTTTTCACAAGAATTATTTACTATTACGCAGACGGGAATGGAATATTCTCTGATCAACTTAAAATTTGAACACAGTAAGCCAGAACTTGAAGCGAGGTTAATCTGAGGTCGGATTATCGAGGTTTCAGTCAATATACTATACATGATTGGTGACTCCAAAGGTCGAATTTGTCGAAAAGGAAAACCCCCTTTTCCCTTACGCGACCAGAATTTAGGTAACCGATGGTATACGCAGCAAAGCCTGATATTTCTTAGGAAAGCTTGTAGATCAAAGCCCTTAAGAACAAACACATCACCAGGGACGCAGGAATTCGCAAGCACTACAGCCGATCCGGTTCGACAGACCCGAAAAAAAGGTTCTAACCGTGTTTTCCTTACGGAGTAACGGCTGGAAGCGTTTCGTACCACAAAATGAAGATGTCCGTCCACCGAGACAACATGTCACTTCTTCGGCGCACACGGGCGATATTACGATATTCTTCACAGTTAAATTGATTCAGCTCATCAGTATCAAGCCATAATCACGTCAGTTTACGAGCTGCTGACACCCGATGGAAGGTACCAGCGTTCCCGAGCTCCCAAAATTTCCGACCGGAAATGCAGGCCCGCTCCACGCTCCGGATTCTCGCGGGACCTTGAAAATTAGAGCACTGGGTCGCCTCCGCTTTTGAACTGACAAGGAGTTCAAGGATTTTTTCGTGATTTCGAGGAGGAATCAAGGGACTCGCTGAATACTTTTAGAACACGTTCTTATTTTCTCGACAAGCTTCAACGCTGCACTTTCAGCCCTTGAAGCTGCATCAATGATTCAGACAGCAGGTCGTTTTTCTCGATGCCCCGTTCTAAACCTTGGCCTCTTGGGTGCATGAAAAAATACAGCTAGTACAAAAAATTCCAAGAGGCAACAATGGCAACCCGACTGGTACAGTCAGTACGTACTTCGAAACGGCTCAACAATGATGATATTGTTAGATCGATCACATTCTCGAAAAAAATGATCATAGTAATATACAATACTTCTGTACAACATTCACATTTTAAAAAAGTGGACGCCAATCTCAGGTTACGTAGTTCAATTCCATTCAAGCGAATCAGTATCTACGAAAATGAAGCTAAATAAACGATTCAAAACTTACAGAATGGGCAACAAAGATGCACACATTCTCAAAAATAGGAAAGTACAGCAGTTGATTTATTTTCACAAGTTCCTTCGCAATATTCTTGGGATTTGGAACCATTAATCTACAATGCTGACACAAAGGCAATTTTTCTAACGAGGGATTAACCCGCGTTGGATACTGTATTTCGAAAAGGATGAGCCCCAGCTTGAGAATACATGTTCTTGGAAAAACGTTGAGGCCAATATTCGAGAAGATCATCCAATTGAATTCTCTGAATCTTCAATGATTTAAAAGGGGTGTTCGGAGACATAATGAAAAATGCCATACCAACGGTCCTGTCAAGTGTTTCCCCTTTCCAGAGAATAAAACCTAATCAAATTCATTCAAAAATAAGGGGCGGGGGGGGGGGGGGGGGGGGGGGGGAGGTGTTTAAACTAGTCAGAGGATGAAAACGATTGTGATTTGCACTACAAAATATCAAAACTATTCCTTTTCCAGAAGAACTAAGTTCGGGGGTCAGTTTTACATGAAATTCCTGCAAATAGCGAACATGTCTTAGTTTTTATAATTAAAATTAAATGGCTGAAGCGAAAAATGAAAATTAAAGAAGTCGGATGGATAGCGTCGTTTGTTTATTCTTAATGAATCGAAAATTCGGCATGATTACTCGTACACCGAGGGACCAGGGTTGTACTGCGCTGAAAGAAAATAATTTTAAAGATACGGTATCGTATTGTATCAGGATAGGGTTGAAAGATATTCAATCATTGCACTGTGAACTACATTGTGGAATTGTGAATTCAATTATAGTACTCGAAGGAATCATTGAAATGTCAGGATTTTGCTTTCGTCTTTCTTCGAAAAATATATTTGGTCATGCATTATAAACATCCAAGAACAGCCATTATTTAGCTTGACATTCCTCAACATATCCATGGCTGTACGAGATATATATTGCTAACCATGTCTATAGGAAATATATATTTTGACATTCAGATGGGCTTACAACAGGGACCGATGCAGTATGTTCACCGAAGCATCACTGCTCCGTACTGCACTCTGGCGGGGGCACGGCTAAGTAAGCAGCTATTTCCGCCTTCTTCAACGGAGCCGACGAATGTTG